TCCTGGGTGGCTCCTTGTGCTGTTTTTCTTTGGATGCAGGGACCCTACAGCGAGTGAGAGGGCAGGTGCGTGTTGGTGTGGCGGCTTTGAACAGGCTTCTCCGCATCTGCTGCAAACAGCCAGATGGTTTCTGGGCCGACCAGGTGTTGCTACTGGGGCCCCAAGAGCACGAAGGGCTGGTGCCCCACACCTCTGCTGTGTGGAAAGGAGACCATGTGCTTTATCAAGACACCACTTCCAGCAGGGGGTGGGGAGGCATTTGGGGGGATGACAAAAATAGCCTTAAGCCACTGGCCCAGCCCACGCCCTGGCACACCCCTTCCTCCCCCCAAGCTTCGGTTGTGGCCTCTGGGGGTGGGGGGACCTTGTTCTTCCCATATCAGCCGAGAGGGAAGTGGGCTTAAGTTTGGCCTTCACGGTCCCAGCTCCCAAGGCTGCAGGCTTTCAGAACCGGAACTCGAAACCAGATTAGGGCCCCCAGCCCGAGACAGACGGCGACAGGACGCAACCCTACAGGGTGTAAGCCAGGCTACGCGGAAGAGCATCTTTCCGCCAGCTGTTTCTCAAGTGATTATTCCTAGCACCTACATGAGAGAAAACAGATATTGGCCATTAAATTGTCTTAAATGGTTGTTTAGTGGAATTTTTGTTGAGTGTTCTATTATATTTTGGTCTTGTTTTTACAAAAGACTGTAAACTGCCTGGAGAGATTTGCTTGCTGCATGGTCTAGACACGATATTTTTTAAAAAATAGCCCACAAATGGTTTTCATTACCTGTCCCCCCACCCCCCAAGTCCCTCCTTTCGGGGTTAGCTGAGCCACCTGTATTTCAGAGCAGGCCTGGTTCTAAGGGAGAGGTGTTTGAACGCCTGACCAGACCGTGGCCACGATCCTTCCGCGGCTGCTCCACTCCGCCATCTCTTTTGCAAGCCGTGTTGCGGACCAGGACGCAGAAGGCTTGCAATCCGCCCTGACTGTTGCAGCCTGCCGGGTACTCGGGAGGCCTGGGTGAACATCCCCTTACCTTGACCCCTTGCCCAGCCTGTCCCTGCAGGAAGCGTGTGGAGCAAAGGTCTGGCATAAAGCCCGCAGGAGCAGCCCAAGAGCCTCCAATGCCCCGCCGGCTGGGTCCCCAAGCGGCTTCTGAGCAGTGGTTTGGGGGTTACGCAGTGGTCCATGCATGCCCCCGAGGGAGCGCAAACTTCATGGAGCGTGTGTGTGCGCTCCCTCCTGGATCTGGGCCCTTGCTGGAGAGGCGCCCCCGCACCCAAACCCCGCCAGCAGGAGCACAAACTGTTCTCCGGCCCGGGTTTAGTTTGCTCTCCTCGTCTTCCCTGTGCACCCACTTTTAGGAATACAGGAAGGAGAAAGTGCATCTTAATTCCTGCGGACAATCACCTCTTCTGTTTAGAGAGGAAGCAGAAAAAGTTATGTTGACAACTGGATACCGGCAGATGCATGCGAGATATCCAGCCCCTTCTGCAAACTGAAAGTGCTTCTGATTAGAGAATTTCATTCTGCCTCGTTATTCCTCCTGTTGCTTTTGTCTTGCCACGCTGTCAACACCTTTGACAATCAACTCCTTGTGAAAAGCCTCATTTCCCAGGTAATCCGATCAGTCAGATACCACTGGAGGGGATGCTGTACACAGAGAGACGTGCAAACTGCCCCAGGAGGCAAAGCCTTCCGACGCTCCGAGATGGGCCCGTTTCCTGACCTCTGGGTTTTCCTGTAAAATCAGTGGCGCTCAGACCGGGAGCTGCTTCCTGCCAGGGCTGTGAGCCCATACTCCGGGTCGCCATGGGGCAGCGGGGAGCACTGCAAAGCAGCTCTTGCAGGAAAGGACAGGGAAGTAATTTGGTGGAGCATAGGGAAAACAGGAAGGATACACAAAAGAGGAAAGTACCCTACGGACATCCTACATGCATACTTAGCTCTTAGCACTGGGCTTTCAAATCAGCCCGCTGAGGTTACTAGTCCACAACCTATTTCCTGAAGACCCATCCACTGGCTTTTTCAAGAAGGGTGCCAAGACAAAATCTTGGGTCTGGTTCCATCCTGAGGGTGCAGCAGCGGGGGGGGGGGGTCAGCTCACACAGGGGGGTCCCACACAGTGAGGTGGAGGCCTTCTTGTTCTTGACCCCACTGATGCCGTCTCCTGCCTCCAGCCAGCAGACTCACAGTTAGCAGCAGGGCTGTCAGCATCCCCCAGACATGGAATTCCAGGAAATTTGGTGCCGTGACATGGGAATCCCCTGTTCCCTGTCTCTGAGAAACATGGGAGAGGGCGGAGAGATAGAATGTCAGCACTTGCTCCAGAGTGAGGTGCATTTGCCACCAGCCTCCCCGCACCTGGTCCTCTTCATGCAGCAAGGGGCTGGGGTCTCCCTCCTCACCACCCAGAGCACACCGTCTCCACGCCAGCAGTAAAGCCTGACTCACACTGAAGTTTTTATCCGCGCCCATTTCCACAAGACCACCGCTGGCGTTTTCCTTCCATCTCCCTTTTCACCCTTCCTCCCACCCTCCCCGCCGTGGGCAACACTGAGCAGGACTCACAATACCAATTGTGAAAAAACACCACGACACTCTGCTCGTGGGGATGCCAGGAGCATCCGCGGGCGGGCGATTCTAGCCAGCGATGCCGCTTGGCTGCAGAACTTCCCGCAACCTAGATCAGCCCGAGCTATGGTTTAGGACAGCTGACTTAAATATTTAGCACACTAAAGGCAAGAGGGATCGTGTGGGTTCTCTCAGTTATTTTTCCAAAAGCCCAGAGTAGCTGACATGGGGTGAGGGAGGAGAGAGAGAACGCATACAGAATGGTTGCAGCCTGGGAAGGACATTCCTTGGGAATGGCTTTAATTGGCATAGTTGCAAATACTTCCTGCCTGCATAATTACGATTCTAGGTGGGGAGCCCGCATGGTGTCTTGCAGGAAGGCCAGAAGGCAAACCTCCAGGGTTCAGGGGTGTCAACATACCAAGGCCCCCGCCAGCGGCACCGGCCGGCATCCTGGCGACCCCAGGGGGCCCGGAGATCTCCTTTTTCCTCACCCCAGAGCGAACTGGAAGAAGCTGGCGCCGGGCAGGCCTCGACACCGGGAAGGGGCGATTGCCCCGTCCCGAAACAAGCAGGGCCCACGCCCTCGAGGGGCGGGAAGGGCGCGAGAGGGTCCCGGAAGCACGTGGGAGGGGGCGCTGGACCCAGGACCGGAAGGCGCAGGTTCCGGCAGCACCTACGCCGGCCGGGCCGGGCCGGGCGACGCCTGCAAGCGCCGGGCAGGCGGGCAGCCGAGCGGGAGCCCGCGCCATCCCGCGTCTCCGCCTCCCCGGGGCTGAAGGCGCCGCGGGGCGGAGACCCCGGGAGAAGCCGGGCGGGGCGGCAGACACCACCGGCGGCCCACCTCGCAGGGCCGTTGTGAGGCGGCCCCGCCCCCGCACTCATTCCGTGCCCACTTCGGCGGCGGCTCCCCCTCCTCCCCCCCCCGCGCGCAGGGCACTTCCGCGTCCGCACACCCGCGCATGCGCACGAAGCACGGCGAAGGACGCGGCAGCCGCTTCATGAGCCCATTCGCTCTCGCCGCCACGCCTGGCACGCCCCCGCGTCCTGTACTAGCCAATCCGCTCTCTCGCATCCTCCTCAGCCCCGCCTCCTCTCATCCTCGCGCCGCCTTCCTCCGCCCTAGGCCAGTCGAGTTCATTATTTACCTTCACGCCCTTTCTTGAATCAGCCAATCAGCTCCAGCCATCCGCCACCTGCGTTCAAGCCACCGCCCCCTCCTCCCGGGTTCCTCATCCTAAACCACGCCCCTTCCTTCCCTAGCCAATCGCCTCCAAGCTCTTCTTCCGTGCCGGCTCTTCGAGCCAATCCGCTCTAGCTCCCGCCCACTGCTCTCAGCCAGTCCGGGTGCCTCCCTTCCTACCCCGCCCCTCGCGCGCAGAGCCTACCACATGGCCTCTGAGCATATTTTTTCCTAATAAATTGCGGGGGGCGGGCTGTCATGCTAACGGCTGAAGAGATGGCACCCGAAAAGGTTTCTTTCCGGTCTATTAATTACCACAATGCGAACTTGATTGTTAGCACAGTGCAAGAATAGAAATACTGACCGAGTAGAAACACTTTTACCCCAACCTTCTGCCGAACGAGACTCCCTGGGCGGTTTGCTGCTCAATAAAAATTGTGGTTGGTGGGGGAGGTAATTCGAAGAGGCATGACAAAAGGAAAAGGGGCTGGGAGGGAAGAGGAGGAAAAAGCAACAACGAGCCTGTTCTTGAATTTTTGAAAACTGAAGTTCATTCAATGGGCTACTCGAATAGAAACGATTAATGTGGGCTGGTGCCGGAAAAGATCATAATGCAGGTGCCAGGTGAGCTTGTTTGGGGGAAGGCATTCCTCAAACCGGGAGCCACACCGAAAAGGATCTGTTTTTGTAGCCACCAGCACCAACGCTTCGTCCATCTCTCAGTTACCACGGAGTAAAATATGAACTGGGTCTGACAAGCTGGAAGCCAGCCTGGCCCCGCCTGCCTCCTCCCGCTTTCAGGACTCCAAGTCGGCTTGCTTTAGGCAAATCCAAACACTGAGTATTTGTGCTTTCGTCTGCGCATTGGCAGCATCCTGCCTAGGTACCCCTGCAGGGCTACAGCTCCCACCTCAGGATTATCCTAGCTGTTCCCCTAGAGACAAAAGGGGCGGAAGCATCATTTACACAGACAAAACCCTTCTGGCCACCTGCTGTGTATCTTCTTTCAGTGCATCCATTTATTTCCAGAATCTGCGACACACACACACTGAGCCGCGTTTCGCCTTTCCAGACTTCTGAAGAGCTTGGCTCTCCTGGGCGCCCTGCACCCACTGCCTGTCTCCCTCCCTTGGTTTGGTGCAGGTGTGCGAGGGAACCGGCTGCACTTCCCCTCCGGTGCAAAGCAGGTTGCGCCTAAGCCACCGGAGGCCTGTCTGCGAGAAGCAGAGGCGCGGGAAGGGTGGGGGCTGCGCCATGGAAGATGCTGGGCTGAAGAAAGCACGAATGATCGCTGCTCACGAGACGGGTACGGAGCACATGCAGGCACCTTCGTAGCCGGGGGCAGTTTGCACAGAGGGCGGGAAACCTGCACCTGGGCCAGGTTTTGAGCTGCCCTTGGCCAAGACGCCTTCCTCAAGTTCTCTGTCTCTCCACCATGTCCTCCTCATAGCTGTGTTTGCTTGGGGGGCAGAGAACCGGGGAGGAAGGGAGCTGCTGTGCCTCCTGCCCCCACCTCCTCCTCACCACTGGAATCTGGGCCAGAGCGAGAGACCGGGAGCATGCAGATTGCAGCGGAGAGCAGAAGGAGAGACACCTGGCATTCTGTCCGTGCACCCTGCTCACACATGGGCCCTTGGCGATTGCCCAGGCAGGCCAACCCTGGCCCCCACAGGGGTGCGTCAAAGTGTGGGAGCCCTTGCTTTGCAAGTAGAAGGCCAGGCTTAGTCATGGGCAAACCTGGCATGGCTCCTGGCCAGGGGTTGCCAGGGCTGGAGTCTAAACCCTTAGGAAGGGGCTAGGGTGCCTAAACATGGAGGGGACAGTTCTGCACTGCACGGGCCGCTTGTGTGCCTTTTGGGGATTGTGGCTGCGTGGGAGAAAACCTCTACCTGGCTCTAGGTAGAGGGATCAGGCAGGAGGAGAGGCTGAAGTCCTTCCCCTACCAGAAGCTCTCCTTTGGAAAGCAGCCCTTCATTTTGAACAGCAAGGACTGGAGCCAGGACTGCTCAGCTCTGGCCCAACTCGCAGCTGTGGAGGCACCACATTGTCAAGCTTCTTCTTCTTCTGCCTTGGACTTTCCCAAGTGTGATGGACACCAGCTTGGAAGGCTTTAAAAGGCAACTGGACCGGTACCTGAAGGGAGGGGAGGCTGTGCGTGGCTACCTTTCCGTACGGCTCTGCTGGCTCCAGGATCAAGGCAGTGTTCCCAGTAGACCTGTTGCTGGGAAGCATGGGTAGGACTGTTGCTGGTTTTCCTTTGGCCACTGCATGAACAGAAATGCTGGACTAGATGGGCTTCGGTCAGACCCAACACAGCTGCTTTTATGTTCTGAAAACCTAGTGCCCCAGTTTGCATTTTCTTCTTCCTTCCTGGTCTTTTTTCCTCTTATGTTACCACATATCAAGTCTTGTCTTTTCTGCACCTTGCCACAGGCCCTGGACCTGGATGCTACAGCCTGCCTCCAACGGTTGGATTTGCCCACCATGACTACACCCGCTTCACCAGTCCAGCTTACTCCTTCCACCAGAGGCTCAACAATAGTTGTGAGTAGTTGAAGATCAAATTCGGCAAGGGGGGAAGGCTGTGGTCCTCCAGATGTTGTTGGACTTCAACTCCCATCATGTCTGCCCATTGGCCAGGCAGACTGGATCTTATGAGAATGTGAGAGGGAGGTGAGAGAATGAAGCAGGGTCATTCTGCCAGCCCTGATGAGGTTCTTGCCCTTTTTTTCCTCTTCCCTCCTCCTCCCATTTTCCTTGTGTGTGGCATCTGTGGAAAGTCGGGGTGTTTAAGCCCTACCTTGCTTCATGGATTGCATGTAAGCTGGATAGGGAACATTTTGGCTGAGGAGTTTGATAAGCATTTGATAAATAAAAAAGCCCCTTGCCAGAATCAGGGTTCCAACCAAATTTGGAGCAGACCCTAACTCTGCCTTTGCATAAGGACCCAGGTCTGCCTGAGAGTCTCCGGCCCTCTTTTTTCACCAAGTTAGAAGTTAGTTGTCTCCAAGTTAGTTAAGCTGCCCAGGTGCTTAAGTGCCTTTGATGAGGTAATGGTGTTTATGTCTGATGATTTAACCAGCTGTGTCTTTGCTGAAATTGGTTTGGCTGTTTGGTTGTCCTAACAGTTAAACGGATATTGTTTGAAAAGGACTGAGAACATTGAGTCCACTGAGCTTTATCTTCAGTGTGCCAGAACATCTCCTGGATATCTGGATAAGCTCTCTGTCTTTCTGGCTGGCACTTTCACATCATGTACCTTGCAGGATCTTTCCTACGAGCTCAAATTGCTTTCCCTGCAGTTTCAATGCTAGATGCTTTAGCCTTACTGGGAAACATTTCATAGGTATTTTGCTCTAATTGTGGTCCTGCTTTTGTTGTGGGAAAAGAGACAGGGAGGACTTGATCAAGCAGACTAGGACACCTGATGCTTCCTAGGTCAGGAGGGGCTCCTTTCCCTTGCAGCTTTTATCTGGGGCTTTGTAGGAAATTAAATGACACTTGCTCCTTGGGAGGAGAACGATGGCAAGTCTAGACAGCATAATAAAAAGCAGAGATGTCACCCTGCCGAGAAAAGTGCGCATAGCCAAGGCGATGGTTTTCCCGGGTGCAATGTATCACTGTGAAAGCGGGACCATAAGGAAGGCTGAGCGCCGAAGGATTGAAGCCTTTGGATGGTGGTGCTGGAGGAGACTCTGCGAGTCCCCTGGACTGCAAGGCGATCAAACCGGTCAGTCCTGGAGGAGATCAACCCTGACTGATCTCTAGAAGGCCGGATCCTGAAGATGAAACTCAAATACTTTGGCCACCTAATGAGAAGGAATGACTCCCTGGAGAAGAGCCTGATGCTGGGAACAACTGAGGGCAAAAGAAGGAGGGGAAGGCAGAGGATGAGGGGGCTGGATGGAGTCACTGGGGCGGTGGGTGTGAGCTTGGGTGGACTCCGGGGGATGGTGGAGGACAGGAAGGCCTGGAGGAATGTTGCCCATGGGGTCACAATGGGTTGGGCACGACTTCGCAACTAGCAAGCAAGCAAGGAACATTCCCCAGTGCTCTGTGATGGCAAAACTATTTGGGAGATGGGGCTCACTGCCATGAGGGCTTCTTCAAAGCAGCATCGGTGAAGGTGCCCCTGGGCCTGGGGGCTACCAGGGGGCCCAAGGCACCTACGCCATGTTTGCTGTGAAGGTGGCTTGGTAGATGCTTGTATATCTCATCAACATCCCAGCTCCTAATCTGCCAGTTTCTGCTCAGAGTGCAATAGACTTAATGGGAGAGCACTAAAGTGCCTTGAAGTGCCCAGTCACAACCGGTGCGGGGCATGCTGCTGTCTGCAGCCCTGTTTATGAACGGCCCTGGTTTTGTTCACTGTATCCCGGGCAATGCCTCTGGTGTCTCCTCTGGTTTTTTTTTCAGTATATTCAAAAGACGCCAGTCCAGGGCCCTGCTATTACGTGGAACCAGAACTCACGCGCTTTGGCAGGTCCAGAGGGGCATCCTATTCCATGCTGGCACGAGCAAAACCTCCAGGTAAGCTTCCGATGGGGAGAGAGGTGCTTCGGACACAAGAATTGGCAAGGCCCGGCTGGGGCAGGCCTTGTTTTGTTCCGTGTGGTTCCACCAGGGAAAATTAGCAGGGAAGGCGCAAGGAGGTCCATGCTGAGCACATGCATCTTTGGGAGAAACTTGGCTCATGTTGCCCAGCCCGGGGTCCTGGGGCTGAGCAGCAGCTGACCCGTGTTGTCTGAACCTGGCCCTCCCAGGAACCAAGACTGGTTAACCATGAACGGCCCTGCAGCTTGTTGCTGGGCTAGCAATGGAGCTGTTCGTGGGTAACAAACCAGGGTAGTCATTGTGAGTGGGCCCAGGCAGCAGGATGATCCAGGTTCTGCACGGTTGTGGTTGCAGTGTCTCCATCTTCGAGGCAATGCCAGGAAGCTGGAGGGGGCGTGACTGCCCAGTGAGGGGGGGTTTCGCCCACTCCTCCCTTGAGGGTCCGTGCCTGTGCTCTGACCACTGCACTCCGGAGCCCCGGCTCAGCTGTGTGTGTTTCCCGCCAGGTCTGCCTCGCACCCCCGGGCCAGGCACGTACAGTCCGGAGAGGGCCCCTCCGCCCTCCCAGCGGAGGCCTCCGTCCTTCTCCATGGGGGCGCGCACCAAGCCCCGCCGGGTGGATGCCACCCCCGCGCCCAACAGCTACAGCCTCCCCTCGCTGCTGGGGCCAAGGGTGCCCAGCCAGGCTTCCAGCCCCAGCTTCAGCATCTCCAGCTGGACCGTGCGGGGCAGCCATGCCGAAGATCTCTCTCGCACCCCGGGCCCCGGGCACTACGCCAGCACGGACCTCGGGGTCTACTTGAGCCGCCCGCCAGCCTTCTCCATGCTGGGGAGACTGAAAGAGCCCACCAGGAGCTTCCTCACGCCGGGGCCGGGGGCACACAGCCCAGAGAAGGTGACTGCCCATCGGCCGCGAGCCCCCTCGTACTCCCTCGGGGTCCGCCACTCGGAGTACCTCATGCCTCTCGTCCTGGACGGCCCCAAGTGGTAGAGCAGCAGCTGGCAGGGGAACCTGCCCCGGACAAACCTCCAGGCAGCTGCTGACAGTAAAGGAGCTTTGCCCAGGCTGGCCGCTCTGCACGGAAGGCACCCAACGCTCTCCATCCAAGTCTGATTTGCACAGCCGAGAAGTCGGTGCTACTGTGGTAACCGCAGATGCAAATTGGCATTCTGTCTCTGCCGCAGTCCATTTGCTCCTTTTGATGTGCAAGCTCCGAACACTCCACACAGCTTTTTGCTTTTCTGGCATCCAGCAATGTTGATGGATAATACTCTTTAATCAAGTTAATAGTTGCAAAAGTACAGAAAACAAGAAACATGATTTGATGCAATTGCAGTAGTGTTTTGGATGTTGGACTGGACTTGCGAGATCCAGATGCAGTCCCTGCTCAGCCCTGTAGCTCCCTGGGGGCTCTGGGGCGCTCACTGCCTGTCAGTCTAAGCCATCTTGCAGGGTTGTTGTGAAGTTAAAATACGGAGGAAGAGGAACAAGTCCATGTAAACGAGCTTGCATTCCTTGCCAGAATTAAAAGGTGAGATATAAATGCATTAATGGAATAAAAATTCACTGTTTTTCTACCAGAATGCATACTGAAACATTATTTTCCTTTGGGTGCATAGTTTTGGAAGTTTTTGAATTGGGTAAGTCCATAGCACAATTGTGGTTTCTAAGGGTAATTATGTTTTGGTTTGCACTGTGATTTGGAAACGTGAAATTAGTAAGTTTGCAACCCACTGTGAACCAGCTCTGCCATTATGAGACCCTGGTGGAAAAAATAGGGCATTTGGGATGCAGCAGGCCCCATCTTGTTGGCCAAAAGGCCTAAAGGCAGGCGGGAGAAAGAGTCAAGACATCCAGGAGAACTTTCAGACTTCTGTGTTTTAAGCCTCCACCACTCCCCCACCCTCCCCATTTCCATGAAGGTTCTATGAGAATTCTGTTCCAGTTTCCAAATTGTTCCTAAATGTCTCTATCACAACCCCAAAATCAAAAGGGAGCTCATGTTTGCTGAAATGTTTGCAAATTCCCGAGCTTGTGTTTGCCTTTAAAGTAGGTGCACATTCAAAGAGACACGCTTTCTTTTGAAATACGCATTTCAAATGCATGTTTTCATGCTTTCATCAGTGGAGAAAAGAGCATACTTTGATGTCTGAACGATGCTTTTTTCCCTCTCTAAAATGTGCACTTTTCCCATTGAAAGGAACCTCAAATCCCACACGAGGTTCTGAGTGAGAAACAAAAACAGACGAATTTCAGCAAGCGGAGTTGTTTCAATAAGTTTTTACTTCCAAACTTCTGCACGGCAAGTTAAGAGCCAAACTCCCAAATTTTGGGTGTGATGTGAGCTGTCAGCCCATGCTCTTGCAAACTGTTTTGGTTGTCTGTCTTAGGACTAATTATGCTGCCTGTGTGGGCAAAAAAGAAAGCAGGAAACACACACATACTTGTCCTGCCTTGTATTTTTATATAACTTAGATTCTACCCTCCCTCACAGATTGCTCAGAGAGGCTAACAACATACATACAAAACAGTATGTTTAGCAACCCTGAAAATATAACTTTCAACAAGCCAAATCAATTTGTTTGATCAGTCCACAAGCCCCAAACTACCCTGTTTCCCTGCAAATAAGACCTAACCGGAAAATAAGCCCTAGCATGATTTTTCAGGATGCTCCTAATAGAAGCCCTACCCCCAAAATAAGCCCCAGTTAAGATTGTCAGCCAGACGGGCGCATTTAGGATGCCCGTTACAACAGAATTTGGGGTTTGGAGAGTTATCATGATGTTCCAGAAGTAGATGACAAGACACTATTTGAATAAATATATATTTTTGCACATGAATAAATGTAGATTGTTGTACATGAAAAAATAAGACAGGGCTTGAAAATAAGCCCTAGTGCATCTTTTGGAGCAAAAAATAATATAAGACCCAGTGTTATTTTCGGGGAAACACAGTATGTACTCTAATGTTTCAGCCCACACAAATCTATGACTCCTGAAGTATGGGGGACAGCCACATTTTCTGTAGGAAGGGATTTTCAGAGCTGGGGTGCTACCACTGGGTAGCCCCTGCTGTGTATCATCCCTCATGGTACCCCCTAGGGGTGTGGAAGGAATCTTGTGGCAGGGGTAGAAAGCAGACTGATTTTCCCCATGCTCAGCTCAATGTGTTCAGCTTTTAAATTCGCAGAGGCTGTAATTTGAGCAACTTTGGAATTCTGCCATTTTCCTGAGGTTAAAAACAAACAGAAACAAGAACTTATAAAAGTCATGGTCTTGTATGCATACTGAAGATTTTGTAAACCATTCTGAAAGCACCATGCTAATCAAAGGGTTTAGAAATGCTTTAAATAAACGTAAAATAATATTGGTGGGAAGACTTGAGGTGAGGTATGGAGAAGAGACTAAACAGAACACGACTCGTTTGCACAATTTATGGGAGTGGACAAGTAATCACTGGAAATAATAATTAAAAATGGGTCTTTCTGATGTGCACAATTCTTGTGAAACAAAGGGGCAAATTTTGTCTCTCAGTGCATACAACTCTTTCGCTCATAGCCAGCCCCCCGGAGAAGAAAGCTGGCTTCCCCATATGGTAAGACATCTGTTGGGCTCAAGCGAAATTCATTTCCCCATCTCATGCTTCCCAATCCAAAAAGAGAAGACTTCCTGGTGCTGTGGATTCCCAGGCGGTGGGAAGGTGGCTGTGGGGATCTGCTGCTGAACGAAGCCCCGATGCAGCCCCACCGTGGGTCAGAGCTCGCTGAATCCCACCCACAACAATCCGGAGCCCTCCGGACCATGCCTGTTCTGCCCCCAGCAGGGCTCGCTCCCAGGGAAGCGTGTCCAGGAGGGCACCCCGGCCTCTTCCTGTGTCCTTTGGAAAGGCACCGTTCCTGGTGTTTCCCCTCTGCTCCTTTAATTCTGCCTTCGGCTGTGCTCACTTTTAAAGCCACCAGCTTGGCACTCCTGCTGCCTGCAGGCAGGCCAACGTCGCCCGAGACGCGGTGCCTTCTGCACGCCCCCGGTGTGTCCTCTGTTCCGCGTGGCCAGGGGGCATCTCGAGAGGCCCTGCTCGGAGCACTGGGTGTCCGGCCGGGTCCAGCCCCGCGCGCCTCATCCGTGTGGTGAGGTGGATCCTGTTTCGGCGACGGGAGAGGGCCTGCGGGGCTCGCGCGGCCGGTGGAAGCGCTTCAGCAGCATGACATCACTCGGAGCGGAGCGCTGGTCTTCCCAGGAGAGGGGAGGGGGATGGTTGGCCTGCTGGAGGTGGTGTGCGTGTGCGGGAGGGGGCGGCGTGCCCGCGGCGAGAGGCGAGCGTGAGCACAGGAGCCGAGCGCAGCCCTTGCTCGCACACCGCTCCAGCAGACGGGCAGCGCCGGGCATGCTAGCAGAACCCAAGTATGACCGCTTTTGGAACGACTCGCTGACGCCCTTGGAGCAGGCAGCCATGAGCAGCAAGGTCGCCGCGGCCCCCCCACCCCCCTCCCCGCCGCCCCCCGCGCCCCCGCCGGGCCCCCCCCCCGCCGGGCGAGGACCAGGAGGCCGTCACCACCTTCTGCACGCTGATCCCACGCATCCCCCAGTGGAAATTCCCCGGCGCGTCCGGCTTCCTCAGCCGCAGCCCGTCGAGTGCCAGCAAGGACCTCTCCGCCGCGGCCAGGGCGGCCGGCCCGGGGGACGGGGGGGACTCCGCGGCCCCCTCGGGCCTGGCCGCCGTGCTCAGCGCCTGCGAGCCGGTCTGCAGCACACCTTGCAGCCTGCAGGTGATCAGCAGGCTGCGGGGGGGGGCGGGGGGCGGGAGGAAGGCGGCCCGGGCCGAGGGCGCCAGGCCGGCTGGGGAGGACTGGAGCCGCAAAGGGGGCTTCATCAGCAAGCCGGTGCAGGGCTGGCTGCATCCCGACGAGAGGGTCCTCGGCCCGGGCGTCTCGTACATCGTGCGGGTAAGTGGCCCCCTGGAAGACGGTGCTGCCCCGGCTCGGCTCGGGCTTCCGGTCTGGCTGGTGGGACCGGGGGGCCTCCTGGAAGTGAGTGGCCCCAGAGTGGGCTCTGCCATTTCCGCCTGGACTGGTGCCCGTTTTGGGGTTGGGCTTACCTCGTATCTGGGAAAGGTCGGGTGGCAGGTCCCTGGGGTGGTCAGGCCTGTCCCTCCGCTGGCAGAGGCAGACGGGGACTGCCGGCGAATGGCCTCTGCCTATGCTCAGAGGCAAGCGTCAGTCCACCTCCATCGCAGCTTAAGAGCAACTCACCCTCTGGTGTCTCCGCTCAAGGCAGCTGAACTTGCAGGGATGGCTCCGGCAGGGCTGACTGCCAGAGCCCACTGTAGAAGTGACCCGCTGTCCGTCACGGGCGCCACCGTTTCTCTTTGTTTTGGCCCAGTCGTCTCTTCCGGGAGAAACGATGCTGCCACTGCCTGGGGGAAGGCAATTACCGCCTCCGCTGGAAGCCCTGGGGACGAGCGGTGCCTGGCTGGGACCCGTGCAGGGCAGAGCCGGCTTCCTGTCTCGCTGCTGTCGGGTGGCCACCGGACTGGCTCCTGCGGGGCGTGAGTGGCGGGGGGTTTGGAGTGCTTGGCAGGGCAAGCACCCGGACCTCCTCCGAGAACTGCCCCCTTCACATTGCGGGTTCTTGGCCCCTGCCGCTTTCTCCGGCCCAGCCTACCTCGCAAGCATGTTGCGAGGCCAAGGTCTGGGGGAGGGAAGGCAAGTGAAACGAGGGGCACTCCTTGGAACGTAGCCTTCTGAATGGCTGGAATAAAAACCATCATAACCTCGTCTAGTGCATGCAAGGTCAGAAAGTGGGGCGCCAAAATGGGTCACGGCAGCTCTGAACAAAGATGCCTCGGGCCTCTTCAGAGGGAACCTTGTCAGCCAATTAAAAATGGTGTCGGTCAGCTAACCCCTGGTTCTTAATTAATTTAGGGGAGATTTACGTTGACAGATAAATTGAGCTACTCAACCTCTCAAGCGTCTCTCCGCTTCCTTGCCCAGCTGGGGTCAGGGACCAGCAGCCGTAAATCATCCCTCGCTCAGCCAGGTTTCAGGGGAAGGGCGAGAAAGTCTCCATTGTTCTAGCCTGCCATGAGCCCGGAGGACAGTCGGCAGCGTGTGGGGGCGGTGAGAGAGCAAAGCAACCTCGGATTTTGCGTCCTGTGCTTTTCCTAGCATCTCACAGGGATGGGACGGCATCCCCACGCAGGCCTTTTCTCAAGGGCCAAACCCTCCGGACGCTGGTTGCTTTTGCGCTCCAGAAAAGGAGCTGCAGGTTGTGGGTCTGGTTTGGGATCCAGGCAAAATACGGGAAATATGGAGGACCACTCCAGGTCTCACATGGGTGAGGACAGAAGAGCCCAGGAGCATGGCCAGGTGTCGCACTTGGTGGGAGGGGACCAGGCCTTCCCGGTGGCCGCAGGCCCGGGGCCAGGACGAAAGGACCTACCTGACTGGCCTTGGGGCTTGGCTGCCCCACGTGGAATGCCGAGCTGGTGTTTTGGGCACAGTCATAAAATGGCGGCTGTGTGGCAGAGATGGCCAGTCATAAAGCTAGAAGGCGAACTGATGAAATGTGGGACCTGCCCAAGAGCCCTCCGTACGACGCAAAGGGGGCGGGGGCCGTGGGTCTGAGCCCCAGAGCCCTTTAGAATCCAAATAAAGATGGTGCTGGATTTGCCTCCCAATGCTCAGCCTCCTGGTTTTTAAAAATCGTTTGCTTAAACAAAATCTTAAGAAGTAAAGTAAACATCAGGGGGTGCAGGGAGCTTAGTGGGCACTGGAGGGGGGGGTGCTTGCATGTGCTCCGCACCCCTGGGTGCTTGGTTGGAGGCTCCCAGGCCAGAGCATTTGTGGCGCAGGAAGGAGGGTGCCCAGCATCGGCACCACCCATGGTGCCAGCGCCCGCGAGAGGGGTGCAAAATCTATTTGTGGGCGGGGAGGCACATTCCCCCACTAAGCTTCCCACTGCTCTGGTGTACCAGCCCACTCACCCCCTTTTCCTCTCCCCCTGTGCAGCTCCGAGGCAAGGCCTTGGCCATGATCAGAGCTATCCACATGGTTTTGTCTGGGGTGCAGGTCATGTGTGTCCAGCTCTTCCACACTGGAGAAACCTCAAGAGGTTTCATGAACCGTCCTTAACAGGTTGGATTAGCCCTGCCTGCTTGGGGTTTTGCGTGTCTGATGGAGCGCTGATCCTGCACGAGGAGGCAATGCAGCCCCACGGCTCTGCTCCGTGGAAGGGGGAAGATCTCAGGAAATGCAGGGGGAGAGCAGAGACTGGAAGGTGCACCCCGGTTAACACGTCCTCCTGCCCCACTGGACATGTGAGGGTGTTCAAGGCTAGACTAGATGTGCACATGGTGGGCATGTTGTGAGTGGGCCCGGCTGGAGCAGGGGTCGGACCAGATGGCCTGGGAGGCCCCTTCTGACCCGCTCTGTTTCTGTGTTTCACTCTCTCCAGTACATGGGTTGCATTGAGATCCTACGGTCGATGAGGTCTCTGGACTTCAACACTCGCACGCAGGTCACCAGGTAAGACCCACCCGCCCCTTCCCTCCTCTCCCCCTGCTCTTGGTTCATGTTCTTTTGGTGGCAGACTGAGGGCGGGCTGTGATTCATGCTGGGGACGTCACAACCCAATGACTCGGGGTGCAACCCTATGCATATTTGGATGGGGGAAGCATTTTGCAGAATTCTGCAGTTGCTCTCAGAATCCTGCGATTCCTTCTCAGCTACAAACCGTGCACCCAGATGCTGCATCCCAAGCATGCATGCTTTGCCCACGTACCTCGCTTCCGGCCACAGAAAGACCACCCATGCCAGGTCAAAATTGGTCAGCTGGTCATTTTCTTGTGAATATTCCTCCTGTTGCCCTGTTGCATCACAGAGGCAGGCGACATGTAACTCTCCTGACATTTTGGCCTGCCAGCATTGCCGAGGATGATGGGAATTGTAGGCCCAAGCCAGTGGAGGCTGGTAGGCCCAACGTCAGCTGGGCGTGTATCCACTTCGGCTGCAGCAGGAGCTATTTGAGCTGCTGAGTCTTTCTCAGGGGTAAATGAGGAACGGCGTTCAGCACCATGGACAGCGCCGTCAGACTTCTGCACCCTGCAAACGCAGTTAGCCTTCCCAGCGCCCTCGGCTCCAAAGTGCATGCATTTTTTTTTTCATTTCCACACTGCCCAATTTTGCATTGGAGGCTGCCAAAGAAACAAGCAACGTAGCAACGGACAAACCATGCTTGCAAGTGTGTTAAGTTACGAAACGCGCTCGCTAGAATGTGTGCCTCAGGCTTTGGAGGGGTGAGAAATGCATGTATTGTGCGAAGCAAAATTGCTTTTAAATTTCCACACAAATACATTATTGTTTTGCAATTGCTTTCAAAGACCAGGAGAAACTGGACTGCAGATCGCTGGGGGTGGGGAGCATGAGAAATTGGGAGGATCCGAAACGGAGAGATGCCTCTGCTGCAAAGTGTCTGCCTCAACTCGTGAGGAAGAAATGCATGTGCACAGCTGGGGCAGCCCTGCCTCTCGCTGCTCACTGCACGGATCGATCGTGGGTAACCGGAGATGGGAGGCATCTTCTGGGCTGCTCTGTGGGGCCATGCATTATTAACAGGCCGCTGCCCCCTCCCACGGCTGACCCCGGTGACTTTGGAGAGGAAGACGCCGGCAACCGGGTGGTGCAGAAGAAGCTGGCTGTGAGCACGCCGTGCGACTCGCCTCCCTGCCCCCAGCCGTCTGGGAGCCCCAGGACAAAGATCGACCGATGGCTTGGGGGAAGAGCAATCGGGAAGGCGGGAGCACTGTTCCGCAGGACCCTGGCAGGATATGAGCTCTCTAGCAGCTTGGCAGGTTCTAGTCCCTGCTCAGCCCTGCAGCTCCCTGCACAACTCTGGCCGGTCATGGCCTCTCAGTCCTGACCTACCTCACAGGGTTGGTGTGAATGGAGAGGAGGCGGGGCCCCTTCAAACTCTCTGTGCATGAAAGGAAACTTTGTTGGAGCAGTTCCACCTTTCAAAATGGGGAAGCAACCTACCCAGAAGGCGTGAAGCTGCCAAAGAAGGAATAGGTCAGAGGGAAGGGGCGTGGCCAGGGAAAGGGGCGTGGCCAGGGAAAGGGGCATGGCCAGGGAAAGGGGTGTGACCAGGGAAAGGGGCGTGGCCAGAGCTGGTTCTGCATACCTTGCTTCTGCAGCTTTGCTCCTTCCTTGCATTTCCCGGGACTCATTTTCCTCCCAAACGACCCTTTCCCACAGGGAAGCCATCAACCGACTCTACGAGGCAGTCCCGGGCGTCAAGGGGACATGGAAGAAGAAGGTGGGTTTGGCTTCCTCCCCACTCTGGAGCCACCCCATAAAGCCAAGCAGGTCCGAAGGAGCAGCCCTGAGCCGCCAATGCATCCCTGCCTGCTCACGGGCTGCTCTGGATCACACTTCTGCTTCAGGGGTGGATGTGGAGACAAGCCCCTCTCTCTGCTTGCACACAAAGTCAGAAGCTCCCTGGATAGATTATCTTGTTGGAAGAGATCATGGGGTGGGGGCTGAATTTGTGGGGACCAGTCTCACAGCAGCCTGTTTCTGCTTGGTTTGGAAAACTTGGAGGGTCCGCCTGACCCCCCGCCTCCTGCCACTCCCGCTTCTCTCTTCCCAGGCTCCCAACAAAACGCTCTTCTCGATCCTTGGCAAGAGCAACCTCCACTTTTCCGGCATCAGCATTGCGGTCAACATCTCCATTGATGGGCTGAATCTTATGATCCCGACCACACGGCAGGTTAGCTGGAGCGTTGGCTGCTGCTTGCTCAGAAGGGGAGCTGAGCAGCAACCCCCCTCCTGAAGAGATGTTGTTTGGAACTGTGGGCTGACAGAAATGCGCTCAGTTGCAGCACTCCTAATGAGTGGATGAAGCCAGTTCAGAGGGAGGGCAACACTTCCTGGATTGGGTCAATCGGGATCACGTGGGTGGACGAAGCCAGTTCAGAGGGAGGGCAACACTTCCTGGACCTGTTCCATGAGTGAGTCTAGCCAGACAGCAGTTCTGCACGGAACTGATGTGGTCACTCCAGTAAGCACCCTGGGCGGGCCCCTGTGGCTCACCGGGTTGGTCTTCCCCACGAGGGCGGCCATGGCTGTTCCATTTGCACCTCCACCTTTGGGCTTCTCTTGCACGTAGGTGGATGTGTTACGAACGGGTGTCCTCTGTTCTCTTCCTTTCTGGGTGGCACGTGTCCTCTTCTGCAGGGGACGCGTCAGTGGCCACCCAGGCTGCTGGAAACAGAAGCTGGGCCAAGGCACGAGCTGATCTTACACAAGCGTGCCGGGATGAGTGGCTCAGCGACCCTGTTTCTGGGGCTGCGCTGGCCCCATTTCTCGCCTCCTGCGGGGCCCAAAGCAGCGCAAGAGGCGCATGCTTACAAAGAAGGCCTCCGCTCAGGCATGCCGCCAGGCCCACCAAAGCCCCCCCGCCACAGCTTGATTGATCCCCCCAACAAGCGATGGCCACCGCACTCCCCTCTCCCCCCAGCAGCACCATCTCACCCCCATCTCTGCTTGTCTGTTTCCATGGCAGATCATCGCGAATCACCACATGCAATCCATCTCCTTTGCTTCGGGGGGCGACACGGTAAGGGCAGCTTTGGGAGTCCTGGGGGCTTCTGTGCAGGAGAGGCGGGAGCAGGGGAAGGGGGGCTTAGGCTTGGGGGACAGAAGGGGGGCACTCTTTCGCTGCCATCCCCTAGTCTTGCAGCAGCTGCAGCCCAGGGGGCTTCAGAAGGAGCTGAGCCAGTTTGCAGAGTGCCCCATAATCTTTCCAACGGGCCCCGATCGGTCAGGGGTGCCGCACTGGAGCGAGGCGCCCACTCTGGCCGCCTCCTGAGCTAGCCAGCGGCCTCAGGCCAGGGCCGCCCTCCTCGTCTCCCTCATCATGGCGGCCGCGGGCTTGTGTGGCACGCAGACACACAGGGGTGGGGCGGAGAGCCTGGCGCTGGCCTCGTGCATCGCCTTCCGTGTGGGAGGTTCGCTCTCCTTCCCTGCTTGGGGGGCTCTCCAAAGGCAAACGGGGTGCAGCGCTCAGCCAGCCTCGGATTCCGTCCAGCCTCAGGGCTCCTTCATGGCCTGTTGCGGCTTTTAAGGCCGCGGCTTTCCTTCGGAGAATCACACCAAGTGCACAGGCAGGTTGAAAGCCTTGCAGGAAATCCCTTGAAAGGCCGGCAGGTCAGAAGGAAGGCCCCCGTGGAGTGAGCAAAGCTCTCAGTCCAGGCCTCGTGCCCCACCTGGAAGAGGACGGGAAGCAGCGTCCCCATCTCAGCTCATCCACTGTCCCTTCTGATCACTTTCTACCTCATGTTCCTCATTCCTTAATATTCATCAACCTGACTTTTGATCAGGTTCATTTTGTCGCTAATTCATTATCAGACCTGTCTCCCCTGAAACCCAGTCCTCTTTCTTTAACTTTTTATAGGGCTGATAGTGGCTGCAGCAACCTTCTCCTGGTGGACTACATGTTCATTAACTATTTCCATTTATTTCCCACCATTCTGCCCAAAAAGGCCCTTTTCCATTACTGCCTGCATCAATTTATTGCAGTTCTCGATTGTCCAGTGGGCGGATGCCCTCAGAGATATGTACGATCCTAACAAAGAACAGTAACAACAAAATTCTCAATGAAAATAGCAAATATTGAATATTAAAATGCTGGGAAGAGCCACAGATTAAAGAGTAAATGCTGACTCAGAGAGAAAAGCACCCAGCCTGTGGTCTGATCCTGCACTCCCCCTGGAAATAGCTCTCCAGGACAAGATGCCTTGTTGTGTCGTCCCAGGGCATTCTGGGTAGCCGCTCTCCAGGGAAAAGGATACCTCTCATTGGTAGCCCTTTGCCCCCTTCTAGAATATCCTCGAATGCGCAGGGCATTCTGGGAAAATGGAATGGCCATTCCAGGGGGGGATTCCTGAGTCTGGCGGTTGCCCTTCCTGAAATTCACTCCCCTCAACAGCAGGGGAGTGGCACTTGGGAACAAACCAGGATAAAAATCCCTGCATTCCAGTTGGTTCTTCCCGGCACGCCAGTGGCAAAGGAGTGGAACGGGCCCGCTTGCGTCCCTTTTCTGTCTGCCTTGAGACAGACTGGCAGCCCTCCCGGCAGAGGTGGGCGCCCCCTGAGCCGCAGCGTGGCAAGCGGCCATGCAAATGCATCTGCTCTTGGGCGGCTGACCTGCTGGACCGTTTCCCAGAATGCACTCCTGCAGGATCACGGGGATGGGAGCGGAAGCATTCACGGGCCTGGGTAAATGGATCTGAATCTCTTCCATGGGGGTGCCCAGAGACCACGGGGGGGGGCGGGGGGGAGGTATTCCAGCACGTTTCGAACGCGAAACGGAGCAAGACGCTTCGTTTGTCTTGGCCTCCAGACTTTCGGGGCTGTCAGCAAAGCACCCTCTGTGCCCCCCCCCCCGCCAACTGCTCTTCTCCCCCCATGGCCACCAGCAGCTCCTCTTCCCCCTCCTCTTCCTCCCCCGGCTCCCCACTGAGAGCAAGGGGAGCTGCACTGCTGCCTCATCTCATGGCCCTGGTCCAGACGGACGGGTAGATTGCAGTGCAATCTAAAGAAATCAATCATGCCGCACTTAGTAAAAATTCCTGCAGGAAATGTGTGCTCTTTTTCTTTTATATTTCTCTCTCCTCTTTGTTCTCGCTCTGTCATTTTCTCTCTCCGCTTCATTTCTTCCAACTGTAATCTCTGCTAACAACCATCAGCATTAACTCCAATCTTCCCCTGTCTTACTTGCATTTCCCACCCAGGACACAATGGACTACGTGGCCTATGTGGCCAAGGATCCCATCAACCAGCGAGGTGAGAAGCCCCCCTGCCCTTGTGCAGACCCTGCAATACAGGGCATGAGGGGCCGGGGCATTTTGAAAGAGCAGTGGCCACTGGCCGTCTTGAGAAAGAGACACGCTGAGCTGCACTCCCGTCGCACCCCTGAGGAACCCTCCGGGGGCTGCATGGCTTCATGCAGCCCTCTTTGTGCAGCCCCGGACTGGATCCGCCCGTTTTGCAGCAGCGTTGCCCTCCTGGCTCGCTTTCGGTCGTTTCCATGATGCCTGGGCATCGGCTCGGCTTTCCCTCAGCTTTCCCCTCTCTGCCCCACAGCTTGCCACATCCTGGAGTGCTGTGACGGGCTGGCCCAGAGCGTCATCCGCACCGTGGGCCAGGCCTTCGAGCTGCGCTTCAAGCAATACCTCCACAGCCCCCCCAAAGCCCCAGCACCGCAGGAGAGGTAGGTGGGTGGCTGCGCCAGCCCACGAGCCCTTCCCCGATTTATTTTAAAAATACATTTAGTATTGCGAGAATGATAAGGAAACATAACACATGTTGCGAACAATGTAACTTTCATATGGAAACGAAACGAGGACCCTACGTTTTTGAAAAGCATCCTTCTAAACAGGTAGTTAATGCAGGTAGTCGTGAAACATGTAGGAAGGCAAACAATTAGTTTGTCCAACTTGGTGGGCCAGTCGCAAGGAGAAACAGTCGCCTCTGTGAGGTAGGAGAGGCAGCGAGGCACAGTGGTTACAGGGTCAGCCTGGGATCTGGGTGTGAGCTTGGCTTTGGGCTGTCCCCGACTCTCAGCCTTGCCTCCCTCACAGGGTTGTTGTGAGGATAACAAGGAGAGGAGCATGAAGCTTCCTTGGAAGAGGGGGGAAATGAGGGTAGAAATATAATACATCAAAGAAATATCCTAGTTTTATCTAGCCTCACACAAACCCCTTTTTGCAAAGCGGATGAAAGGCAACCTTCCTTTTTGCAACCTGCCCAGAAAAGCTGCCACATTCTACCCCGATCCAACCCCAAAATTCGGAGTGTGTGTGTGTGTTCAAGCAGAGTTCAAGGTCATGCCAACTTATTCCAATTTATTCAGAATTCAAGGACTGCCCTTCTTCCCTAGATTTCCAGAGTTTGGGATCTCAGGGGGTGCACAGCAAGGGTGCAAAGTTGGGCCATGGGGCAAATTTGGGCCTTCCGGGTCTCATTGCAGCCCTCCAGAGCTGCCCCACTGCTGCCCCCTTCCCCAAATGCTGATCGCTTGGTGATTTCCTGACTTTTGGGAAATCCCCTGGCCATTTCCGGAGGCCGAAATCCCTCTCTTGAGACATTACAGTCCTGTCTGACCCAAGCCAAGAAAGCAGGATGGATTCTCTCCATGGATTGCTTGGTTCCTAAGCCATGGTTCGTTAGCACACCAGGGTTCAGAAGACACGAGAACCCATCTTCCGACCACCATGGGCTGAACAACCAGCAGTGCTCAGCCCATGCTCGGTCTCTGAGTTGTTGTGACGTCTGAGCTGAGCCACGGTGTGCGTTCAGCAGGACTTTGCTCAGCTCCAACAGGAGGGCCCCTCAGCCAAAGCCTGAACAAAGAGGAGGTGAATCTGAGGCACCCATTTAATTTAATAATTTAATTAATTTAAACATGTATATGCCGTCCTTTGCAGCAGCCTCAGGCTGATGTGGGACCCCACGGGGTGCTTGTAGCATCCGACAACCCCGTCCCACCAATGGGCTTTCAGCTGAGTTCTTGTCTGTCTTCCGGTCAGGGCAATGGGTATGGAAGATTCCGCTTGGGGGGAAGACGAGGAGGCCTCTCAGCATGATTACTACAACAGCATCCCTGGAAAGGAGCCCCCCCTCGGCGGGCTGGTGGACTCCCGCCTGCAGCGAAGCACCTCCCTTGGACACGCCCCGTTCTCCTACGCAAGCCCCTTCTGCCAGGTGAGGAACGCGTGGCCCCACAGATCATCCAGGTTTGGCTGCTGACTTGTCAGCATGGCCTCTCGTTAACCAGCCATTGTTCAGGGGGGCGGAGGGAGATCATAATTATGGCTTAGAAGATTTGATAATAGGGTAGAGCATACTTCCTTGCTAATCTGGGAAATTGGTTCACTGAAACCCTCATTAGATCAATCAAAAGGGGGCACCCCCTCATTAACCGGGCATCCATTTTCCTTTTGAAAAATTATTGCCATTGTGCGGAAAGAATTCATAATGGAACACAGCAAGTTCTCCTGCATAATTTGCAGTGTTGCTTCTGTCTGCAATTTGCAGATGATTCTTCGCCTTAAATACACTTAAGGAAGATGCCACCGGATCTGCGCTGGTCGGTTTCAACCTTAACACCACCACTCCATCAGAGGCAGTTTGGGGAACATGCGCAGGAGGGTATTGTTGCCCCCCTTCCCTGCTTGTGGGTTTACCTTTGAGGCAACTGCTGTGGTCAAACACGCAACCCAATGGGCTTGATCCTGCAGGGCTGCCCTTATGCATCTCTGTGGATAAACACGCACAAACACACATAGGCAGAGACGGATCCATGCTGCTTGCGACATCTTCGGACTCTGCATGAGGGCGTAGGTGTGGGAACGGTTTTGGCGCCCACCCAAACTTCAGCACGGACTGACACGCCCCTCTGGTTCCTCCGTGAATTTGCCTGACGGCCTCCTAAAGTCACCCATGTTGCTGGGGTGGAGCGTTTCATCAATACGGAACGTTCGCCATTCCCGCATCTTCCAGACGGTTTCACACCCGTGGCTTCGCTCTGTCCCTGCTTTTCTGGTGCTCTCTGCTGTTTCACTGCTCTCGGTATGGCCAGTCGGGAGTTCTTAATAAGTCTTGGGCATTAAGTCACCCCGGGTTCCCAAAATGGTCATCGTGACGGCACCGAACACGACAGCGGATTTCTAATCACTGCTGTGACCGCCTTTCAAAATTGGGAGATGAAGTATTACCTTCCAGCACCACGCCAGGAGAAGACAAGAAATGGCCAGGCCAAACATCTTATCTTGCATGTTTACTTTTCTAAAAAAGGGATGCTTTGGGCGGCTGTATGGAGGCATGGCCTTGCAAAGAGGCATAATGATGTTTCAAATAATCAGAAATACGCGTGTAAGCCAGGCAAGGAGTGTGGTGGCACCTTCTCACCCATTTTCCAAAGAAAATGGAACTCCGAGGCAATCAGACTTCCAGGCACAGTTTTCAGCATTTGGCAGTGGAGTTCTCCAATCCCCTCAAACACCTATTAAAATGCACATTTTTGAGGGAATTTCATTTGGACGAGCAGTGCAACTGGCAACAGATGTATCTATGAAGCAAAGACACACACAATGATTCTGTCATGTCTGTTGCTTTTCTTGCCATCAAAAATCTCGAGGCCAGCAGACCTCAAAGTGAGGAACTGAAACAGAGACGTTCCGGGATCCATCTTGTCTTCCGGGTTGCCATTCTCCAAGCCGCTGCTCCCTCGTTGCCTGGCGTTCTGAGCCCTGGTCTGACACTTTGACGTGGCACCAAGCCAAATAGCGGGGTCCCGTCCCCTGCCTTCGTAAGTGACGACTCTGTCTCTCCCGTAGGTCGGATCTCCTGCCAGAAGAGACCCCTGTAGTCACAGCAACATGAGCTGGGATTCCAACCCTCACGGTATTCACCCTTATATATTCATATATATTCATATGCCGCTGGAGCAGAGAGTGGGCTTGGCTTGGCTGATGAGGCGTGAGGATTTTGGGGGAGCTCCCATGATCTGAAAGAGATCCCTCTGCTCTCACGATCTAGCAGGACATTTTCCTGCTAGACGTCCGTTACCAGGATCTGGCAAGGGGACCAGAAGTGGAGGGCCGCTTTTCCCTGTTCCAGACCATCTGCCAGCCATGCCCTTTGCTTTGGCACTCCGTTCCATGTCCTCTCTCTTCTGGTTTTCCAGCCCACCCCCAATTCCATCTGCTTTTCACAGGTGCGATTGCACCGGGGTCCTTTTGGCTGTTGGATTGTTCTAAATCTCATATATTAAGAGGAATGTGTCCGTGCTGTCTTTATGCAAGTCACGTATATATTTGCAAGTTTTAGTTATATTCCTACACTGCTGTCTTTGTGGCTCGTGAGCTGCCCTGACCTGCCCAGAGTTTCAGCAACTGAGCAGGGTAGGAATATAACTAAAAAATAACGCTACACGATAAATTAAAGGTACTTGTTGGACAGTTTTACATGCCTTTTTGTGCTTTCGGGCTTGGCAAGGGCTTCCCCTCCCTCAGGAGGGGGGAGTCCTGCTCTAGTGACCGATGGAACGGAGCTGCCGCCCAGGTCTTGGCACAAGAGGGCCTGATGGCCGGGTCATGTCTCCCAGGTGAGAGCTGCGATGGATACGTCCAGGCCGATGGGAAGCCTTTGGGCTCGCAGGACTATGAGGAGCATCTCTACGTGAACACGCAGAACCTGGACAGGTGGGAGATAGATGCCGCAGGGTACCAGACGCCTGAGGACAGTCCTCCGAAGGACCTTTTTGATATGAGTAAGATTTGGGGCCGATTAATGGGAAGGGGCAGAGGGGGTTCTGCCGAGCAGCTCTTGCTTTGCACATGCTGATGAGCTGACGGAGGAGCACTACCGCCCCCCAGCAAAGTTGAATAATAATCTTATTAATATTGCGCTCCCACTCCGGAAGATGCCTGAGGGCATTGCATAAGAATGGAGCTAGGAAAATAAAATATCACAGCTTCCACAACATACAGGCGGTGGCGGGGGGCGGGAGTGCTTCTGAAAGAAGGAGGAGGTTTTGTTTTGCCAAATCTCGGCATCCCAGCCTGATGGGGGCAATTACAACCCTTTCTTCACAGCCGCTTTCTGCCACATACTCGGTCTGTACTTGGACGTCTTTTCTGTCATTTACCCCCTTTGCATTTATTCTTGCTTGCTTATTGATTCTTCTTTTGTGACTCCAATGATCACTGGGCCCCAAGGAACCAAAGTTCTCTTTGGCACCATGAAGAATAAAATGCACTGATACCAAAGTTTAAATCATCAGCCAGGAAGAGTGCCAAAGCCATTTCGGCAGATCTGTGGACGAAATCAAGGCAGTGGCATTCGTGTGTGTGTGTGTGTGTGTGTTGTTCATATGTTGTAAGTCATTCTTCATATTTAAATGAAGTAGTAATAGCATGGTAATAGTATGGTAATAGGGAAGGGATAGTAAAGGCATAGTAAAACAATAGTAAAGGGATAGTCAAGGCATAGTAGTAATAATCTGGTTTCTCCCAGGGCCTTTTGAAGATGCTTTAAAACTGCATGAATCTATGTCGGCCTGTGGCGTGGATGCAGGCCCACAGATAGAGGACCAGTGGCCCAGCCCACCCACCCGGAAGGCCCCGATCGCCCCCACGGAGGAGCAGCTGAAGCAGGAGCCCTGGTACCATGGCAAGATGAGCCGGAGGGACGCCGAGAGGCTGCTGCAGGCGGATGGGGACTTCCTGGTGAGGGACAGCGTCACCAACCCTGGGCAGTATGTCCTGACGGGGATGCACGGCGGGCAGCCCAAGCACCTGCTCCTGGTGGACCCGGAGGGCGTGGTAAGCGCGCTGCCACAGCGCGGGGATCGGTCACACGGGATGCTGCAGGACAGAAAGCGCTTCTCTGTGCGCACGGGCACTGGGAACAGGACAGAAAGCGCTTCTATGTGTGCACGGGCACTGGGAACAGGACAGAAAGCGCTTTCATGTGCGCACGGGCACTGGGAACAGGACAGAAAGCGCTTTCATGTGCGCACGGGCACTGGGAACAGGACAGAAAGCGCTTTCATGCGTGCACAGGCACTGGGAACAGGACAGAAAGCGCTTTCATGCGCGCACGGGCACTGGGAACAGGACAGAAAGCGCTTCTCTGTGCGCACGGGCACTGGGAACAGGACAGAAAGCGCTTTCATGCGTGCACGGGCACTGGGAACAGGACAGAAAGCGCTTTCATGTGCGCACGG